CAAACAGAACAGTTAATAAATGATTTTGTGTAAATAAATTTTGTTCCGTAATGCATCTTTTCCATCGGCACTTGAGTCTGAGTGCCTAAAATGTTTAACTCAAAGGCCTGCTTGCTGCTGTACTATTAGATCTCCAGTCAGCTCTAAAACAACTGGGATGAATGGGGTTTTTTGTACGTCTCCCTCTATTCATGAATGGAACTGTATTCTGAGGAGAAAGTTTTGGAAGCATTTAGTCTTGTTCTGCCAGTTCCCTTACAGAGAAATTGCCAAAGTAAATTTTGTTGGCATGCTGTGCAGTTTCTGTATCAACTTAAATCTCAGCCTTTTGCTAAAACCAGCTGATAGTTTAAACCAGTCTGAAAATCACAATCATATTGAATGTAATTTTAAATAATATGTGTTTCAGAGAAGGGGGTGAATTTTGCTTCCTGAGCTTATAAAGCTGCTATTTGGAAGATTGCTTTTTCTGTTGTGGCAGCTCAGTCCTACTGCTGTTGTCATTCTCTCAGTATAAATGTAGCTTAGGAAAAAAATGTGATTGTGATAGTTGTTTTTTTCCCTTAATGCAAATTATTACTGCATTACTACTAATAATTTAGCATTATTTTCTAAAGAACACTCAAAGAACTTTAATATCATGCAAGGATATTATTCCCTTGGATCTATGTATCCTCCAAGATCTTGTCTTGGAAGATCTTACAAGTAGAATTCAGGACTGTTTTATGAACATACTTTTAATTTTGATTTTTCACATGAATACATGCAATAGCAATATAAAAGTGTAGGCATTGTCTGGATAACTCCCCAGCATTCATGTACAAGTGGAACATGAACTTGTCTTTTGCTCTTGTAATTTTAGACAAAGATAATCAAAAGGCAGCATTTGCTGGAAGTGTTGAACTACTAAGGGAAGTTAGGTGGAACAGAGATCTTGAGCATACAAATTAATTTGTAAAATGCTGTGTTTCTAGTCTTGTCTTTGAAGTAGTAAGCTCATGATGAACTCAGTATTTGGGGATGCTTTGTTATCTTTTTCCTGTAAATGATGGATCATTTTGAGGTTACTGAAATCTTAGTAAGGTCAAACTGCAGATGAAGTAACAAACCAGAGCTGAAAGCTGAAAGTTAACTCCAGCCAAGTAACAGAGATGCTGTATTTCTATTAGTTCACTTTTAGTCTTCTCTTAATTATTAGCAGCCTGTAAGGGATCACAATGCATATTATATTTAGTGTGCAAATAAGGGTACTTTAATGTTGTAACATGAAAAGACAAGTTATTTGACAAAAAAAAAATTAAAGTGGCTGGCTTGACAGGAAAAGGATAATACAGTTTTGGCTTTGTCTAATGATTGCAGTTAAATATTGCCAGTCAGGTAAATAGTATGGTAATGTTACCTTAATTTGAAATGGAATTTGACAATACAGGAGAAACCAAACAGAATGTGTAGCAGAGACTGAGAAATAGAATCAGTTCAGACCAATGCAGTGTTGTCAGACTTCAGCAGATGTGCAAGATGATTTGTTTGAATATTTCCACCAGCCTTTGGCAATATCGTCATTCACTATCCAACAGTATTTCTCTAATAACAGTGTCTGTTCTACTGCTTTAAAGAACACACTTTTATTAAGATTTTTTTTTCTGTTCCAGAGGTGTAGATTTTTAACAGCACTTATGTCATTATATCTACATCTGATGCCTTGGGGATATAGCCGTTTGCAAATATTAAAATAGCTGTTTCATGGGAGACCAAAGATAAATATAGCTAATATCCTGCCTCCAACACTGGCTAACGATGCCTGCTATAATAGTAAGAGCAAAGATTAGAGAAAGAAGCTAGTAATGTTTCCCCAGAATGTTTCCCCAGCCTGCAACAATATGAAACTTCTGAACCAGATGTTACATGTTTATATTTTTTCATGAAAATCTTTAATTTACTTTTTCTAAGTAGGTAAACTCTTAGTTTCAACAACATCACAGCGTAATCACAAGTTGGATTAAGTATTACTTCCTTTTGTTTTGAATTTGCATCTTACTACTTAAATTTCATATTCAGTCATTCTCTCCAAACCACTCAAGATAGTATAGACTATGTTTATCATAGAATCACAATCATGGAACGGTTTGTGGTTTCCATGGGCTGGAAGAGACCTTAAATATCATCTAGTTCCAACCCTTTGCCATGTGCAGGGACACTTTCCACTAGACAAGGTTGCTCAAAGCCCTGTGGCACCAAACCTAGCCTTGATATACTTGGTCACATCTTCAGGCTGAAAAGTTCTGACCTGTTTTGTTGTTTGTGTAATCTATGTACTTGATCATCCTTCCCCCCTCCCCCCCCCTTTATTCCATTCATGTCAGATATGAATATAATTTTCCAAGATACAGCAGACCTATCACTCTCATTCTGGGTAGCTGATCTGCACTTTCTCAGTGGCCTCTTGTCTGGGATTTGCTGTATCTGGAAATTCTGAAGAAGTTAAAAATGTTCAGATTCTGTCTGAACATATTACCAAAATACTTGGAATAAGATGCCCCATCCAGTATTGATGTGGTTCTGTTAGTATGTAGGGCCACTGTCTACACTGTGTCTTGTGTTCTTGCATTGTTTGTTTTAACAGTTACCCCACTGGAAGCTGCTCCGACTGACCAATGCTCTTAGAAAACAGTTATTACACTGAAGGCAATGCTTTCTATTTCTCAAAATATTCAGAAGGCTTCGTCAACCAAAAACTGACTTAGGACCTGGCAGTGTTCTGCCATGCTGCTGCCAGCAAGTCCAGGAGGCTTTTTTCATGCATCTCAGTGAGCCATTTGCCAGTTCAGGCTGGTTGACCACCAGCTGTCTGGAGTTAATAACCAGTCCTCAACATCAGCACATAGTGCCACCCATTGATACTTATCCCTCCAGCTCAAAAACTCTCTCCTAAATGCAGGAAGATCAGTCTCAGTTGGAGCTGAAGCTGGCCTCCATTTATGTTGTGTTTTCCTGCAGCTGTTAGTTCATCATTGCTGTCCTGCAATAGTAGTAACACCTGCTCTTGCCATGCATATATGTCCGCAAGCATGCAGTGGTCAGAAATGGTTAGAAAACTGGTGTTTTCTAAAGATGGGACCACAGCCCACTGCTTGGCATCTGCAGGGCAGGCACTGAAGCTATAAAGGAGGAAGAGGCAGCATGGTCTCAACAGAAAGGTAAGGATTAGCAAGGAAGAACCTACAGAGTGTGCCTTTTACATAATGCATCCCTAAATGGTGACAATGTCTGTGTAAGGCAAATGGCTCTTTACTGTTGTGTGTTGGGGAGCACTGTGCTGTGTGGGGATCGTGTGGTAACTGCCATTTCCACAGGGAAAGGAGTTGGTTCCTTCAACATACCCCTCCAGGTTCCAGTAATCCTCAATGAAGGCCTGAGAAATTCAGCAGTGACCAGGTTGGTTTGGGGCATAGCACAGATTAATATGGCAGCACAGCTGCACAGGTGTCTTAATAGGCGAGAAAAAGCCCTGGTCAGAACTCTTAAGGTGAGCATGAAACACCAAATGTTGGGAGTGAACTCATCTGAACACTGATGGAGATGAGAGCTTCTTGCAAGGAAGAAGTTGGGACTTCATGTACAATAATTTGACTGCTGTGTAGAATATGTCATCACCAGCCTGTTAAGTGATCTTTGATGCTTTTCTGTTTGTTTGTGCTACAGACTGAATAATGATGAAGCTGGGGCGTAAGTAATTTTAGTATATCGTATGAAAGAAGTGAAAGACCTTTAAAATGTCTGTATTTTAGTTCCATGTGTTGGGACATGAAGATGTGGAGATGGTGAGTGGGTGAAATGTGAAAGCTGAATTTTCGTGTGTCACACTAGGGTTTACAATTTCAACTTTCAATTGTGTAGTTTCATATGTTATAGGATGCTGTCTTGTGTAAATTTAATTAATATACCTACTTTTTAGTATGTAAATTAAAATTGTAAAAAAATCCTGTAATATATGAATTCATTTGGAATCTGAATTTACTATGCTAAGAATTTAAAACACTATCACGTTGTTTAATAGTTCATTGTACTAAGAGGAAGACCTGACACACAGGGTAAGTGGCTTTGACAGCCATCTGACCTACCAACAGTAGTGTAGAAAAGATCAAGAATCTTGGATTCTGCCTTTGCCTCGTCTCTGGAGAAATTATGGAGAGAGTTTTGTTAGAGATAAGGTACCTGAAGCATAATAATTATTGAAACATAGCAGGGCTAAGTATCCAATCCTTGAGCTAAATAAAAAGTGCTGGCACAGCAAGACAAGTACTGGCAGAATCTCTGAGCATACACAGTTTATGCAAACAAAAGGTTAAGTGGACCAGGTTATACCAGTTCTCTGAATGAAACAAACTGTGCTGAAAAAGCAGGTTTTGCTAGTGAAATAACAGGGTTGGAATAAATGTGCCTACATTTACTGTAGATAATTATGAAAATCAGTAACTTAAAGTCTTCCTGAACATTAATTTAAAAGAAATATCAAGGTAGTTGGATACATATTTAAGCCTCACCAGATGAGAATAAGCAGTAAGTCAATTATATTAAAATCATAGATTCAAGCGCACTAAGCTATAGAAATAAGATTCGTATATTTTGGTGAAGACAAAAAGGTAGCACATAGTCGTTTAACATATTGCTCACAGTTTTTAATAATGACTTTTTCTGACTGATACTAAGGCACTTTTCCGATGACAGGGAGGAACCTGGATGTCAGAATAAACATTTCCCCCAGAGCTAATAAGCAATAGTCTTTGCATTTTAAATAGTTTCTTCCTTAGATTCAAACATTATGTTTCAAAGCTTTTGTGTTACTTTGGCTCTGTACATTATATTATTTTGCCCCATAATCAATTCTATTTTCATTTTATCAGGACTGCAAGGTAAAAAATAGTAATTAAGTTCAGTGCTCTTAATGTTCTTAATCCATGTTACTTAAACCAACTTGATTCAAACCTTATAATCTTCTGTTCAGCTTCAGGGTTTTATTTAAAAGTCTCTGAAAACACAAAAGGATTTCCTCTTAGTTTCCAGTTGCACTGACTCATTCTTCTTGGTAGGATAAATAGTTTGAGCTTTGATGTATTTCTTTGGTCAGATGTTTGTCCGTATGTTTCTGACAGTTCCTTTTTTATCTTTTGAGTTTTTTTGTTTGTCAAGGCTGACCCACTGCTCATTCTTAGGCTGAACTGATTTCTTCTTCATCTTCCTCAGAGTCAGCGTCATCATTGTAGAAGTGAATTGTGGCTTGTACTGGAAAACTTGCCAGAACCTTCTCTCCGATGTTATTAAGAAACTTTTGGGATTTGGACTTGGGCAAATAAAGTCTAGTAAGAAAACACATTTTAAGAAAAAAAGTAAAACTATGTGATGCTTTCGCAGCTAAGCTAAACTAGCCTGAGTGTTAAAGTCTATTTTTATCTTTCTTTGGAGAGAGAAGAATCCTAGGGTTCCTTGCCTCTTAAGATAAAATTGCTTACTAAAAGGTAATGTTGATTTTAAGTTGTCTTAGTTGCTTTGGGCATATTGCGTATTAGATTTATCTAAGGTCCCACCCTGGTAAAGTGTTACCAGAGCAGTGATGCATGCTTGAGATTGTTTGGTTTGGTTCTAGCACAGTTCACAATGCAAGTGTCCCATGCAATGGGTAAAGTTTGAGGAAGTTTGAGATTCTGGAATAAGATACCAGGTTAAGATTGGGGTGAGCTGCCTGTTGCACAGCGGCTGATCTTAGTGAATCTTGTCTCTGCAGATGGAGGAGGAGGAAGTATACACTGAGAGAGATTTCTTTCAAATTCATATTGTTTTGTACTGAATTCGTAAATGTCTTAATTTACATTTCAGGTTTTCACCAGCTTTCTCACTAAAGCAAAACTTATGTGGTCTGTACACATATGCATTTTTTGTGTGCATAGGTATCCACTTTGTCCCTATTTCGGTTAAATTTGACAGTGATAAAGGTTACACAGATTTTAAGGTTCTACAACTTGTTTACAAGTGCATGTAGAGAAGAGGGATACTCTGTTAATTTTCCTCCTCTAAACTGAAGTCCAAATCAGGAGTTCCTACATAATTAAGCCTTAAAGAACCCAGATGATAGTGGAAACCCTTATAAATCCCCCAAGCATAGGAAAAGTTTCACCTGCAATTCAGCTTTTATTCAAGAGCAAATTTAAGCAACTCAAGACACAGATCTATAACAAGTCACATTCCATTAGCAGCTGCTCACATTAATTATTTGGGCTTTGTGGGCTTCTTATCATATTAATAAATGTAAATATAAATTAGATGAGGCAGAAGAACATTATTTCTTTCCAGATTACTTTTTTCTTATTGTTACCATGTTGTTTCAGGTTCTCTTCAGCCTGGGTATCAGTCTTCATGGAGGTATAAAATAAAATCCATGGAGTCTGGTGAGTAGATAAACTTCATTATTAAAAAGAGATACTCCAGGGACAAGCTAATACTTCTCCTGAGAAGAAATATATCTTTTATTGAAAGGTGTCACTTTTCCTGTATCTGGTGATAGGATTTAACTCACCTCACTGGATGTTGAAATCCCAGGGCTCCTTTTGATCTAAAATTTACTAGTTGACCATCCAGTTCTGACTGTAAAGAGACATTTTTATTACTTAGAAGAGGCTAAAAATGAAGATTTCACTTTTTATTTCTACAGCTAACCATAAAATTCTACAGCAATGTTGCTTTATTTTTTTTTCTTCTGTGCTGCTTGTTGTTTTACTCCGGCTAAATGTACTTCAGAGAATAAATGTGTCCACAGTCTGCTAACAGGTGCACATTTATCAAAGGATTTGAGCTTGTACATCTTATGAGCCACGAAGCTGTACATTTTGCTGAAGTTTTTAGGGAACACTGTAGTGACTGATGAGCTAATAACACCACCAAATGCAAGGTCAGTGATTAGAAAAGGAAAAAACTATTTTCAGTCAGTTTAAAGGAATGGGAAGTTAAGGTTTGTCCTGATTTCAGCTGGGATAGAGTTAATTTTCTTCCTAGTAGCTGGTGTAGTGATATATTTTGGCTTTAGTATGAGAATAATGCTAACAACACACTGATATTTTAGTTGCTGCTAAGTAGTGCTTACTATAAGTAAAGGACTTTTTATTTTCTCATGTTCAGTAAGGAGGAGTGCAAGAAGCTGATAGGGAGCATGGCCCGGACAGCTGACCTGAACTAACCAAAAGGATATTCCATACCACAGAACATCATTCTTGGTATATAAACTGGGGGGAATATGCCAGGAGGAGCCAGTCGTTGCTCAGGTCAGGCCTGGGTTTCAGTCAGCAGATGGTGAGCAATTGTACTGTGCATCCACTTGTCTTTCTTGGGTTTTATTTCTGTCTTTCTTTTTTCATTGTCTCCCTTTTCATTACAATTATTATTGTTATTATAATCATTATTATATCTTCTTTTATTTAAATTATTAAACTGTTCTTATCTCAACCCATGGGTTTTAGCTTTTTCCTTATTCTCCTCCCAGTATGGGAGAGCTGCAGTGAGCAAGCAGCTGCGTGTACTTAGCTGCCAACTGAAGTTAAACCACAAGAGAGTTTTATCAAATACCTCTTAACTACACTGACCCATAGTTTGGACTTGGAATGTTCAAGCTTGATTGCAACCAAAGATCACACGAGCACATTGAAGTGTCCAAACAGTTAAAATCAAGAGACAACTGGCATCTCATATTTCTATGCAACAAGCAATAAAAAGCAAGCATAGGGAAGGTAGAAACATATGTTTTAAGTATCAAATTTTAATTTAGCACAAAATAAATTCATTCAAATTAAGGTAGGAATGAAACTCGATAATTTGTAATTGTTAATGTTACTAAATCCTGTTAGGATTGTAAACCTGAAAGCATCTCCCAAAATCACAGGGCCCTTTCTAGCGTCCTCTTCTAGGCATGTATTTTCTTCCATACCTTAAAACAAAAAGACTTCTTTTTTCCTCCTATCAACCTGATGTTACATAAAATACAGATATTTAGCTTTGCTGTAATAGAACTCCTGTTGAACAGAATTTAGAAACCATCCACTGTACTACAAACAAAGATGACTTTTGCCGATGTCAGAGTAATTCATCTATCTTTCAGTGGAAATAGGCTTCAGCATGGATATTTTGGTGGGCCCCAAAAAGCCCCAGGCTGTGGACTGAGCAAGAGATCTTACAGAATTATCTCTACCTTTTATGTTGGCCTATTGCTCTCATACCCACCTGTTTGTCTTGTAGCAAAAACGATTTGTCTTCAGGCTATTAGTTTTTTGCTTAAGGGTTTTTTTGTGTTTAATCAGGAGACTTATTTACTTTGTTTCCACAGTACTAAGTAAAATGGACTCCTGATCTGGCTGAACACTGTGATCATAATGTCTGTGTTAAATACCATTTTTCTCCTTTCATATTTACATTAAAATTAAACCAGCCTTTTTTATTGACCTGTATTTTTTACTCTCATCTCTTTGGAGTATATATTATTTTCTAATAATTCTGTATGTAATAATAATATTGGTTAAACACACATTGTATGCTTTACCTTCTCGTGCTAAAATAGACCATTTCTGAAAAACAGTTCTAATAAAAGCCAATTGCAACATCTAACTCAGTTTCTATACAGCAGAAAATGTTCATTTATGTAATGTTGTAGATATACAATAGTAAATTTAAATTACTTCGTCTTTTTTTTTTTTTGTGATAAATAATGTAACTGAATTTAGGTAGTAGGAAAAATGTTACTTTTATACAAGGAAAAGGATATTATGTGTAGGTAACCATAGGGAATATTGTAACACATGTTCTGGGCAATAGAGGTGATATTAGTTTATTTTTTAGCAGTAGTTTCATATTTTATCACTTTTTTCTTGAATCAGTTTCTCAGGTTAGATTCTTATATGTATATTCTTAAACATTATTTTTTGTAACTACACAGAGAATATTGAAACTTCTATTTGCTTCACTCCAGTGTTTGGAGTGTCTACTGATCTGTAAAGCATTGGCATTTGTATGTATGAATTGCAGAAAATAACAGTAGGCAGCATGCATCTAACTAGCAAAACCATTGTGTTTAATCTATCTTTGAAGTCCGCCTCCTAGAAACCTCAGTAACTGTGCTGAAGATACTTGCCTTCCACACCTGTGGGCTGTAGGTTTGCATTAGCAAGTCTTCCCACCTAGGCACCACACAAAGTATCTAAGCATCTTTCCTTTTCTGTGACCCAGTTAAAAAATATAAGGGCTTCCTAAAGCCCTTCTTTAGTCCTCATTAGGTCCCAAGCTACAGAGACATCTAGGATGCTGGAGCAGTATGGATGTGACATAAAGTGTAGTTGAGAAGGATCTGAGAAGCTTCTGGCAGGAAGGAGAAAAGTTAAAAAATTGAAATCAATTGTTACAGTTAAGCTTAGCTTGAAACAGTGCCAGGCTCTGAGCAGGAATGTGGCAGACTTCGCATGTGGTTTGTTTTTCTCAAGTGGGCGCAATCCCGAGTGTAAACTAAAACTTTTGAGCTGGTTGAATAAAATTTTCTCCAAAACCATAAGCTCAGTAATAAATCACAACTTCCTGATTTCAGAAACCTTAGTTTCTTGAAATCTTCCCTGTAAGCATGTGCTGTCATGAGTCAGACTCCTTTTATCCACAGCAATTTACAGGTGTCTCTGGCAAAACTTGGAACACTGCTGGAAAGAGCATTCTTCCTTAGGCTTTCATAAGGTGCCTGCAGGGAAGAGTAAGTCACGCCTTCAGATGTGTACAGTTACAGTCTCCATCATCAGCAGATAAAAAGTACAAGGTAAAGAGGTGCTGCCGGTGTTAAAATATAATAATAGAAATCAGGATTTTTTAAAGACTTGCACTAAGGAGACTTGTTTTAATATGCTGAGCCAGAAGTTGAATATGTAACTGTGTATCAAATGCTGCAAAAACTTATTCAGGTGCTTAGAACTAAGCAGGGCATTTCAACAGGTATTTAAAGTTTGGGACCTAGATTGAATGTGCTTTGATCTCTATTTTTGTTCTTTGAGCCTAACAAATCTTCCTACATGATTAAATAAATTTAACAATCACAGTGCCTTTCAAAGGCTCTTGGCAATTAAGAGCTGCTTTAAAATCCAATTTTGTGTTCATTTCCTAACTGGTTGAGCTATAGCAATATCCTTCCAAGAAAAACAATAAAATTGTGCACCTGAAAGTCTGGGATTTTTTTTAAATTCATCTTAAAGTAATTTTTATTCCAACTCTCGCTATACACAAAATACCACTACAGAATAGGCCTGTAAATTTCAAACTGAAGATACTGTTAGTTTTTTTACAATTAAGTAAATGAAAACTGCTGTTAAGAGTTGAGTAAGCAGTGCTTTCTGCAGCTCTTTAAGAACTGATAATGATTCTATATGTGATACAAAACTAGAGATACTCTCAGCCATTATCATGTTCAGAACACTTTAATTTGAATAATAATATTTCCTAACACTAAAGAAAGGTTCAAATGACTTTCTGTGTTCAAATAGTTTCAATTTCTGCACCTGTTTTCTATAAGGGTTATTTTTGTCAGCATTTAGTCTCACCATGTGTTGATTCTCTGTCATCTCACTGTCTCTGGCTGTGATCGTCCAGGGCCTCCATAAGGCAGGGCTGCTGAAAGGTAGAGTAGTGCTCCTAGTTAATTCTTTTGAAAATATCCATACAATACAGCTTCTTTTGTTAGATTCTGCTAGCATCTTTTGGAATAATATGATTTTTTTCTTTTTAACACATTTTGATTTGGTAAATCTGATTTCTATGGCAATATTAGTCTCTCTTCTGTCCAAAATGATTAAACGAACTAGACAATTATTTGCACATTTTTAACTAAGGTGTTATTTCACAACTCAAAGCAGCTGCATTGAACTCGAAATGATGATGTAATTAATACTGAAATCTTTTATTTATGCAGCATTGCTACAAAATAAAAAAGTATCCCTCCCTCTCTGACAGACTGTCTAAATACAGATTCTATGTTGGCATTAAGTGGCTGGTTATTTATTGAGTAAGCAACTCCAGCATTCAGCTGACATGGGCAATCTGATCTAATTAGTTTAAGAGAGCATGTGCAGCGGTGGGTGCTACATATGCCTCTTATTTGGCAGCAGGTACTTACAATTAAGGATGCTCTTTTTAAAACTACTTTCCACCTCTGCTGCTGTGTAACAGATCCATACAGTTGGGGAAAGATATGAAGGATAAATAAACATAATAATAACAACAGTATTTTGTCAACAGTAACAACAATAATTTTTTGTTACAACCTTAATTTTCATTTACTTCATTTGTAAGTTCTGAAATATTTGACTGAAAAGGATAAAATATCAGCAAAACAAATAAAATACCTGTTCCAAGTTAAACATTTTCAGGAACATTTTGCCCTTCTGAAATTGGAAATTATTTTCTGTCTCTTCAACGCTAAAATTACACCCAGTTTTGAAAGGAAGCTGCTGAAAAAAGGTCTCCCTGTGCCTGCCTTACCTCTCTGGGTGCTCCCTTGGCCGGGGTGGTGGGCGCTGCTGCTGCTGGGTGCCCTGGGAGCGATGACAGACACATTGCACTGCGGTCTGGAGCAGGAGACTTCCAGCTGCACCCTCCATGGCATTTGATGGTCTGAAGCCTGATGGCTGGGCTCTTGCCTGGGCCTTTCAGCCCCTCCTTTAACTTAACTTACCTAAAACAAACACGGCCTGAGGTAAACGGGGAGAAACTGTCCTTAATGAGATTTCTTTTGACTCACTGAAAGAGTTCAAAGATAGGGCTCTCAGGTTGGCAGGCTGTCCTGGGGACAGCACTGCTAGGGAAACAGAGGCTTTTTGTTAAGTTTGGTAGCGAATCACATGGAAAATAATCCATGCCTTTACCTTTCTGTCTGTTTTACAAAATCCGTATTTGGTCTATACGAAATATATGATGTAAATACACTTTTTGCATGGTCTGAGAAAACTCATCCATACCCTGTCCTAAAAAAGTTTGAGACTAGAAGAGAATTTTAAATGTACAATAATTTTTAAATTACTGAAGTATTTTTCATGTCCTGACTTTAAAAAAAATACCAAAAATTAGTGAAGGTGAGAGGATTTAAAGGCATGCCTAGTGACTTCATCAAGACTACAGGGATGTTCCTTTAATTTGATTGCTATCTGATGGATGGAGAAGAAAGCTTATGTCAAGAAAGATTACTTTGTCTATCAAAGAATCACGGTTATGAATGCCATCAATTTGAGGAATCTTTTAAAGTATACAATATATGTTTTAAGCCTACAAATTCTACTGAATAGAAACAAACTTCCAAACTTTCTTCCCACTGTTTTCATTTATAACATGCATAATTTGTAGCCTGCTACACTGTGCAAGAGCAAATATTACCTGGTGGCTGGGGTCATCTGGTTTTTATTGTGATGGTTCACTGCTACAGTTCACTTTGTTTCCTTTATTTCCCAACTACTGCAGATATGTGAGAGGATTATAAGAACCTAAAGCTGAATTCTCTTTCCACTGGTGCTAATATGCATTGACATCAAAGGGAACAGATTCAGCTCCCAAAAATAATTGGTTTCTACTGTGAACTTTCTTCCCAGAAAGCAAAAAATAATTTTGTTTGCTGAACATGGAATGTTTGTTGATTTTTAGTATGAATTAGGTCTCTTCTAGCTGATGTAGCTGAAGAAACCATCAAGTCAGTCAGTTTGAGAGGACACTGAAGATTCTCGGTGGGAGTCAGATCCTTCTGAGGTAAGCCCTGCGGCTCTCTCTCAAGTTGAGATCCAGGTGGAAGGAATGCATGTCCAGTCAGCAAGAAGAAAGGGACAGACTCACAGGTGAAAACCACTGGATACATTCTCTTGGAAACATTATTTTCCCCTGAAATTGTTTTGTATTAGAAAACACTGTATATACACATTTGTGCATCATTTTTGTGCATCCTACTGATCTTGCTTAAATCTAAGTATCTTTCTTAAGATGAGAAGCAGCTTAGGTCAGATTTGAAAGTCATTGTCTTACATTGGTTCAAATTACGCAGCTGTGTAAGGGATCAGTGTTGGGACTGGTCTTGTTCGACATCTTTGTCAGTGACATGGACAGTGGGATTGAGTGCGCCCTCAGCAAGTTTGCCGATGACACCAAGCTGTGTGGTTTGGTTGATACACTGGAGGGAAGGAATGCCATCCAGAGGGACCTGGATGCACTTGTGAGGTGGGCTGATGCCAACCTCATGAAGTTCGACTAAGCCAAATGCAAGTTCCTACACCTGGGTCGGGGCAATCCCAGGCACAGCTACAGGTTGGGCAGAACAGAGATTCAGAGCAGCCCTGCAGAGAAGGACTTGGGGGAGTTGGTCGGTGAGAAAATGAACATGAGCCGGCTTCAGTGTGCGCTCACAGCCCAGAAAACCAAAGGAGCGTGACCATCAGGTCGAAGGAGGTGATCCTGCCTCTCTACTCTGCTCTCATGAGGCCTCAACTTGGAGCACTGTGTGCAGTTCTAGTGTTCTGAACATAAGAATGACATGGAACTGTTGGAACAAGTCCAGAGGAGACTCATGAGGATGATCGGGGGTTCAAGCACCTCCCTCATGAAGACAGGCTGAGAAAGTTGGGGCTGTTCATCCTGGAGAAGAGAAGGCTGTGTGGAGACCTCATAGCAGCCTTCCAGTATCTGAAGGGGGCCCCTATAAGGATGCTGGGGGGGGACTCTTCATTCGAAACTGTAGCAAAAGGACAAAGGAGAATGGGTTTATACTTACACAGGGAAAGTTTAGGTTAGATATAAGGAAGAAGTTTTTTACTGTGCAGGTGGTGAGATACTGGAATGGGTTGCCCGGGGATGTTGTGAATGCTCCATCCCTGGTGGTGTTCAAGGCCAGGTTGGATGGAATCTTGGTTGACACGGTTTAGTGTGTGGTGTCCGTGCCCATGGCAGGGGGGTTGGAACTGGATGATCTTAAGGTCCTTTCCAACTCTAACTATTCTATGATTCTATAAATTTTTCCTGTTCTTTAAACATCCCTTCTTGCTGTGACAAATAGACGTGTTTTAAACTCAAAGGCCAAAGCTATTAAATGCTGTTCTGGGAAGCACTAACAATCTGTAATAGAAGATTTAGAGTTTAAATCTACTCCCTTCAATGTTCAGATGCTGTGGGGTGTACCATATCTAAAAGAAGAAAATATATGCATAGTCTCAATAATTTTAAACATCTATATGTCAAAATCAGTATAATTATTAGAATAAAGAATATGTTGAATTATAGTCAAATAACAAAATTATATTAAACAGCAGAATGGGTCCTGAGAAAAAAATGCAGACTTCTTAAGTAATATAAACTATAATTAAATACCTTCCTGAACTTCAGTCTGAAATACACATGTATAATTTCATCAGCTTAGTTTTATTTAGACCCAGTTTAACTTGATAGTTGAAAGGGAAGTGTGTATTACACAACTGATGTCTATAGTCCTGATCTTGCAATCAGATCCGTAGGTGACGATAATTGATTTATACCTCTGGATAGAATCTGCCAACATGGATATTAGTGCAGGACTAAAGTCTAAACTACTAACGTAGATCTCTCCAGAAGATACAAATGTGTCGTGGTTTAACCCACAGCCAGACAGCTTGTTACCCACTCCCCCCCTTCTTGCCCTCCCCCTACTCCTGGAGGGACGGAGAGGAGAATCAAAAAGAAATGCAACTCCCACAGGTTGAGATAAGAACAGTTTAGTAACTCAGGTATAACACAAATCACTACTGCTACCACCAATAGTAATGATAAAAGAAATAACAAGGGAAGAGCATAAAACACCCCATCACCAGGTGACCGATAACTTGCCCCCCCACAGCCCGATCAAGCACCGACTCATACCTCCTCCAACCCTGCAGTCCACCCAGCCCTTCCGGCTAACTCCCAGTTACATCCTGGGCATGACGTGCTGTGGTATGGAATACTTCTTTGGTCAGTTTGGGTCAGGTGTCCTGTCTCTGCTTCCTCCTGGCTCCCCTCCTCCCTGGCAGAGCATGAGGCCCACAAAGTCCTTGGCCAAACCAAAACATCAGTGTTTTTCAGCTCTGTTCCCAGCTTAAAGTCAAAACACAGCCCTGCACCAGCTACCAAGAAAGAGAAAAATGACTGCCACTGCTAAACCCAGGACAAAATGTATTCTCAATTAATTCTGTTTTTAAAGCCCTGCAAGACCAAATTTATTATGGAATTATTGAAAATATTATTTTGTTAATGAAGCTATAATGTCATGTAATAGAATTACATCTGACACTGTAGAAAAAATGTAAGCCAAAACTGGGACAGTATTACTTTATTGTACTAATTAATTGAAGTACACAACTTTAACTGGCATTTTTATGGAAAGCGTTAGCTAAAATCAGGTTGCAGATCTGTGGATTTCAGTAAAAGATAAGCAGCTGTAATAATGTAGTTTCTAAGAAAAGAAAAAAAAGGGGTAGCAGTTAAGCCAGTCATAGCTGTCTCATTTTAACAACTATACTACTATAGTTCTTAAAAGTTTTGCAATGTTCAGTTTTAATACAAGGCGCTGTATTTGGTGAAGAGCACTTCACAGTCAGAAAACACTGATTCTGTTAGTCGCTCATCCATTTTTTCCCAGAAGGCGGGAGTATTTTTCAGACTTCTGATACAACCAGAGATAAACTTTTACAAACTTGGTTTTCTACAGAGACATAAGCTATAAGATAATTATTTTGCGTTAATTTGAAGAAGTTTATTATCTTTGTGGGAAACCTGTTTTACTCATTTTTCTTGTGAAAGCACTTGTGCATTTGCCAGAATAATGAGAATTCAATATAAATTGGCATAGTCAAGGAACAGGATAGCTGTACAGCATTTATAATTTTGAATAGTACCTGGTATTTAACAATGTGACAAAGGAATATTTAGCCACTAATAGCATGCAAAGGTCCTCAAAGAGAAATTGTTGGAAAAGCTTTTATGGAATAGAGGGAGGAGGAAATTGAGCCATCCATGAAGCACAGCAAAGCCAGTCTCATAATAGTCCTTTAATGTAAAAAAGAGACACTCATCTACGCTGGGGTTACATGGTAGAGTTGTCTCACTGTTCTGAGTGGCCCCCTTTGGGAGCCTTCCCATGTGGACTGTTTGAAGAGTTAAGGGAGATTTCCTACCCTTCGACTGAAGCTAGCCTTTCACTGGGTGGGCGTAATTCTCCAAGTTTGTGGGCAGAAATGCAAAATGTGTCCTATTCACTTTCTTCCTCAAGGTTTTTCAAATTCTCTTTATATTTTTTGGTATGTGTAGCATTTTGCAACATCTTTCTATAATACTTTCTCTATGAGAAAACCCTAAGTGTTCTGGGAAGTCTGGTTAACATTACTCACTGTTTCTTTCCAAGACTTCCTTCCACCCTTCTATAGAGAGGAACTGATCGACATATTTTTTTTGGAATACCTATTTTAGTAAATTTCCTGGAGCAAACAAGGCTTTTCCTTCACAATAATAATAATGTTTCTGAATCTAAAATTCTTAACTTTTTAATCACAGCTTGTCATGATTAAGTATTGGCTACACTATAATAGAAACTAGAAAACCTACAGCAACTTTATGGCTTCAAAAAATTCTAATTGAGAACATGCCAACATACATAGAAACTTGTCTTAAAATGGTGACTGTTTTTCCTGTATATTGTTCTGCTTTAGATTCCTTTGCATCATGAAGTTTCGATTCAGTTTTCTCATTTATGCATAAACTTTTCCAGGTGAGGGAACCTTAAAATCAAAAAGGATCTTAACAGATTTAACTGTGTTTGATGCCACTACACATTTAAGCAAAGCATGTTCCTCATTGTGCAGAGGTTATATAAACAGTTTCGTTCTGGAGTGTGTTCTAAAGGTCAGCAATGCTTGTGCTGTTGAACTCTTACAGAGAAAGTGAATTCCAAAGTTGAGAGCTTTCTTTTGAGGTTGTATACTTTGCTTGTTTTCTTTCTTTTGATGTGCCTGGGTAAGTATTTTGACTTCCTGCAGAAGATAAGGTCACACAAAGGAACAGTGTATAATACCAAGTTAGGACCACTGGAGGCTTTGTTCCTCTCTGTGGAATATGTACAGGATATAACAGCAGCACAAGGCTGGTATTTCTCATGCTTGAGATGGAGAATTATTTAAATGATTCAAGCCTCCAACTGAAACTGTCACCTGTTTCTGCATGCATTGTGGAAATCAAAATTATGTCAGTGATTCCTACCATTTTGGATAAGTTTCTGCAGCCTTAAAGAAGTAAAAATGGCTGGTGGTGTTTTTCGTATTGGTGCCTGCTCCAAAACACACAGGGCCGATATTTTCCTTGTTTATCTACAGTGACAACGTGTTGTTGTTGGAGATCCATTTAGGAAATTCTTCTTTTAGAATACCTATGATAGTGATTTCCAAGTGAATACAAGGCCTTGAGTTTGGAATACCAAAACCCAACATGGCTTCATGCCCTGTTCAGGAAACAATTACCATGTATCAGCCACCTGCAACTTTAATGTATTGTGTTGGCTTCTTTCTTCTAGACTTATTGCATTTTTCCTCTTGCTTTTTTTTTCCCTCTCCTTTCACTCACCCACTAAAATCTGCTAGGATCAGACTGACAAATGTGTTTTTTTTCACAGAGTTCAATGTTGTGAGTACCTTCCATATAGGATATAGAAATTATTTAATAACTTGCATGCATTAATATATCAGAGGACTA